GTTCTACAACATAGTGCCTCTTTTTCATTGTTGTTTTGGTAAGGACACCACATGAGATCTACCCACTTAAATTTTTCAATGTACAATACAGTATTGTTAATTATTGCTTCTTAATGGATAAAAATCTGGCCATTGTAAGTTTAGTTACCTTTTAACTATTTCTCTTTATAATTAAGATTCTCCCATTTAAAATGTACAATTCTGTGATTTTTAGTGTAATCAGAAATATGTACAACCATCACCAGTCAATTTTAGAACATTTTCATTGCCTCAAAAAAACCCTCCATATGCTTTAGCAACCCCCACTAACCTCTGTCCCCCTCCCCCAGCCCTAAGCAACAATTAATCTACCACCTATCTTTATAGATTTGCTTCTTCTAGACATTTCTTATAAATGGAATCATACAATATGTAGTCTTTTGTGACTGACTTCTTTCACTTAACATACATAATGTTTTCAAGGTATTAGTACTTCATCCCTTTTTATGGTAAGAATAACATTCATATAACTGAATAATATTCATGGATATAACACATTTTATTTATGCATACATTAGGTGATAGACATTTGGACTATTTCTGTTTTTAGCTGTTATGAATAATGTTGCTATAAACATATGTATACAAGTTTTCATATGGACATATTTTTTAAATTTCTCTTGGGTATATATATAGAAGTAGAATTGCTGGGTTATATAACTCTGTTTAACTGTATGAGGAGCTGCTAAACTGTTTCTCGAAGTGGCAGTATCATTTTATATTCCCACCAGCAGAGTGTTAGGGTTGCAATTTCTCTGCATCCTCACCAACTCTTGTTATGATTTGTCTTTTTGATTATAGCCATCCTAGTGGGTGTAAAGAGGTATCTCACTGTGGTTTTGATTTCCATTTTCCTGATGACTAGTGATCTCGAGCATCTTTTCATTTATTTTGTTGGCCATTTGTATATCTTTTTTTGAGAAATGTTTATTTAAGTCTTTTGTCCATTTTTAAAATTGGGTTATTTGTCTTTATGTTGTTGGGATATAAGATTTTATATATATAAAGATTTTATATATGTAGTCTTAAATAAGATTATATATATTATATATATATTCTGGCTACTATATCAGATATATGATTTACAAATATTTTCTCTCATTCTGTAAGGCTATTTTTTTCACTTTCTGGATAGTGTACTTTGATGCACAAAAATTTTAACTTTGATGAAGTTAAATTTATCTTTTTTGAGGGGGTTGCTGTGCTTTGAGTGTCATATTTAAGAATCCATTTTCAAATCAAAGGTCGTGACACTTTACCCTATGTTTTCTTCTAAGCGTTTCATAGTTTTAGCTCTTACATTTAGGTCTTTGATCCATTTTGAATTAATTTTTGCATATGGTGTGAGGTAGGGGTCCAATTTTATTCTTCTGAATGTGGAAACCCAAGAATTGTAGCACCATTTATTTAAGAGACTATGTTCTTTCTCCGTGGAATGGTTTTGGCACCTTGTTGAAATCAATTGACCAAAAGCATGTGAGTTTCTTTCTGGACTCTCAATTCAGTCCCATGTCTGTCCTTATGTCAATTCTACACTGTCTTGATTATAGTAGTGTTGTAGTGTATTTTGAAATCAGGAAGTGTGAGTCCTCCAACTTTATCTCTTTTAGATTATTTGATTATTTGGAGTGCTTACAATTTTATATGAATTTTACCATTTTTAAAATTTTTTTAAAAGATTTTATTTATTTATTTGAGAGAGAGAGAGAGAGAGAGAGAGCAGGAGCGGGGCGGGGGCAGAGGGAGAGGGAGAAGCAGACTTTCTGCTGAGCAGTGAGCCCGATGAGGGGCTCAATCCCAGGACCCTGGGATCATGACCTGAGCCGAAGGCAGACGCTTAACCCACTGAGCCACCCAGGTGCCCCTCATATGAATTTTAGAATCAGCTTTTCCATCTCTATAAAAATGGTTTTGGGGGTTTTGACAGAGATTGTACTGAATCTGTAAATTGTTTGGGGGAACACTGTCTTAATCATATTAAGACTTCCAATCCATAAACATGGGATGCCTTTCCATTATTTAGATTTTCTTTAATGTCTTTCAACAATATTTTGTAGTTTTCAGTGTACCAGTCTTGCACTTCCTTGGTTAAATTTATTCCTAAGTGTTTATTCTTTGTGATGCTATTATAAATGGAATTTCCTAATTTTATTCTTGTATTGTTCATTGCAAGTGTATAGATATACAAATGATTTTTTGTATATTGACTTTGTACCTGCAAACTTGCTGAACACATTTATTATCTATAATTGAATTTTAATAGATACCTTAGAATTTTCTATATATAACATTATGTTCTCTGTAAACTGAGATAGTTTTACTTCTTGCTTTCCGATATGGTCCCCGCATTTCTTTCTAGCCTTGGCTAGAGCTCCCAGTGCTGTGTTGAATAGAAGTGGTGAGAGCTGACTTTCTTGTCTTGTTCCTGATTCTAAGGGGAAAGCATCCAGTCTTTCACCACTATGTCTGCTGTTAACTTTGGGTTTTTGATACATGCCCTTTATCAGGTTGAAGAAATTCCCTTCTATTCCTAGTTTATTGAATGTTTTTATCATGAAGGGATATTGGATTCTTTTAATTATCTCTAATCACATCTACTTAATTTAAATATCTTACATAAAAAATAATTGGGTAAGTTGTATGAAGTCAGCTTTTTTATAATCTGATCTTTTACTTCTTATAGAAACTATACTTTAAAAAAAATTTTATTCTAAAACAGGTGCTTCTTTTTCTTTTGCTTCTTTTTCTTTTTCTTCTTCCAGCAACCATTTAATCAGTCAAAATGATGCTTTTCCTTTATATCTTAAATACTGTGGTTCCCTTTTAAAAAATATTTATACTGGCTTTTTAAATTTCTCTCTACCGAAAAACAGAGTTGGGTATACGAGGTCGTGAATATTCTACCGCCCACTTTGCGAGCTGTTAGATTCCTCCTCTTGGTCTTATCTAAAAGGGTAATTAGAGCTCAAAGGCCCTTGTCAAAGTTCTATGCCCAGCACTCATACATTTAATGTGCCCCAGTGTTAAGGAGGGGTCTCCTGCTTCTACTGATGTGACATCTGACTGTAGGGAAGAGGATTTACCTCTGAAAACTTTGGTGGGTGTGCCCCAAGGCCACCTCCACTAGAACACACCTCTGGGGGCTCTTGCCATTACTGCTGTCCCATCCCAGGATGCAGGGCCCTGGTGACCTTTGTTGTGTCATTCCTGATTCCAAATAGGGTCTTGAATGGAAGCAACTGAAAAGTACAGATTCAAGGATGAAATATATGGCCTTGGTTTGCCCACCCCTTACCCCAAACATAAATGATTTTTAAAAAGGGAAGGTTGAGGATGAGCTGACCATTCCTCTCACCGGTGAGAGCTCCGAGTGTCTGCTATTAGGTCGGAAGTATTTATCAGCGCTTCTCGTGCACCAAGCCCTGCTCTGTGCACCTCACGTGTATTAGTTCTATTGTCCTTATAACCACTCTGTTAATACATTTTACAGATCATGAAACTGAGGCACAAAAATGACAAATAACTTTCCAGGGTCACACAGCTCCTGCGAGGTGAAGCCAGCATTAAACCCACCGCCTGACTCTTTTCCCCTGACTGACCCAGCAACAGTTCTCCTGTGCTTGTCCTCGGTCCGCTTCTGTGCCCCGGGGCACATCTGAGCTCCGGCGTCTCTGAGACAAGGTTCTCCTTAGGGTCTGACTCCTGAGTAACATTCCTCAATCTCCTTTGCTGTTGGGATTGTCTATCACTCTGGGTGGGTTTTGCGAGTATTTCAAAGACGAAAGTGAATCTTGCCCCAGGAGTCCTCGGGGACGAATTTGCATATGAATTTGATCTTAATGACTGTGCTAATTTTGTGGATGAGAATATCAAAGCCTAGAACCGGTTAGTCAACCTCCCCCAAGACAGAGAACTAGTGCTGGCTCCCCAGGACGAGAACTCCTCTTTACCTGGTTTATTCCCCACTACGTTTTGCCCGTCAAGTGTCTGAGAAATTGCGGATGTGAAATGCCGCTGTCTTTCCTAACCCTCTCCCGAAGGTCCGTGCGCCCTCAGAAGCCACAGGCAAACTCTGGTTTGAATTCATTTCACCTGCTTGATTTCTTCTTACCTTGGAAAATGGAATGCAGACCCTTGCTTGAGATTTTTCTCAAATTAGGCTGGGTGACAAATGTCTTTTTGAGCTCTTTTATTTGACACCCTATTAATTTTTTTAAACTCCCATTGTTTTGTTCCTGACATACCTGTTATATTTCAGATGTGAGACAAATGTACAATTGAGGGAAACGTCTCTAATATGCTATATTTTGCCTCAGGCTGTTGAGAGGACTTAAAAAAACAAAACCCAAAGGGCACACACCAGGACATCCTGCCCCTCATAATTTTATCTGGCATATTTAATTGATAGAGATTTCTGGGTTAGATTATTATCAAGGCACATAGTAAATTGTAGAGCGTGTGGCCTTAATGACGCTCTTGGCATCTCTTTCCAACGCAGAGAGAAGTTTTGCCACTGTTGGGGAAGGCGACTTCCTGGCAGAAGGTGACAGTACCTCAGACTGGGTAGTCGTACATGGGTTAACAGCCTGGGCAGGCTGCATTTTGTGTCACAAGTCAGAAGTCCCCTAGTAGACACGCAGGGCAGGAAGAGAGGAAGCAGTGTTTGCATCCCTACTAACACCAGTTATGGTAAACACCAAGCATTTAGATTTCAGCCCTTTAATGAAAGTTCCCTGAATTGGTTTTTTAAAAAGTCAGGCTCTCCTGGCAGAACCAAGCAGGAGAGAAAAGAATGGAATAATTGGAGGCTGCTGTCTTTTCACTTCCCACATAAAATTATTTGAAGAGACAGGCCAGAACTTTAAACAGGCAATCCCAAGAAAAGTTGTAATTTGGATGTCTGTTGTTGTGACATTAGCGTGTTTGCTTAAAGGACTTTTTTCCCCCAACTCTCTCCCCAGACATACTTCAACGACAATATCCTTACCCTGATCCGGACCCTGGTGACCGGAGGAGCCACGCCAGAGCTCGAGGCTCTGATTGCTGAGGAAAATGCACTTCGAGGGGGCTACAGCACCCCCCAGACACTGGCGAATAGGGACCGCTGCCGCGTGGCCCAGTTAGCACTGCTGGATGGGCCCTTTGCAGACTTGGGGGTGAGTGCATGGCGTAGAGGTCCTCTGAGCCCACTGATTGGGAATAACTTGGCCTGGGTGAACTGGGTGCCGGACAGTGAGGGGCTGGGTACCTGCCTTTTCTGTCTTCTATGGTAAATAACTATGAGGCGATGATTATGGTTACTGGGTAGCAGGCGCTGTGCTTTACATACAGTCATTCATTTTTATTCCCATGGCAATCCTTTGACATAGGTTCTATTATCAGACACTCTAAGGAAATTGAGGCTCAGAGAGACTGAGGATTGGCCCGATGAGGAATTTGCACCAGGAACCCTGGGCCCTGTGAGCCTATGCACTTACTCACTCCCCTAGGTGTCTTCTATCATGAGCTGGGAGGCATCAGGTGGTTCCAGCATGCAGCCAAGGCTGGGACCCCCCTGTCCACAGGGTCTTGGCATACTGCAGGGCTACTTCACCCCAAAGGCACATTCATAGCCCATGAGGAGCTTGTAAAAACCACTGATGGCCATGCCCAGTTCCCAGGATTCGGAGTGTTTGTATCTGGGTATGACTCAGGCCTTGGAGGTTTTTGAAACACCAATATGCATCTAGAGCCACCAGCCAAACAAAGAGCATCTCATGTGGATCCTTTAATGGCTCTAATTCTGGACCTGGGTCTTCGAATTTCTGAGGCTGGGCCCAGTCACTCTCCCCCATGCCCTCCCTGCCACAGAGGGGATGACCAGTGCCTCCCTTTGGGCCCCATGCACCAGCTGGGTTCACGTACTCTGGCCAAAGTCTGCAGTCTTAACCCTTATTCGCAGCCCTACTCCACCTCCAGGGATTTGCTCAGAGGGTGGAGCCACAAGTCTTGGGGACAGATACATTTATTGTACAAATAACAGTTTCTCCCAGGGAAAGGGTCATTTTCTCTGTTTCTTCTGAAACCCTGATGCCAACTTGCACCATATTTTGGTGTGGTAATGAGCAAGGACCTTTGTAAGACTGGGCTCTATCATTGACTTTGAAGGGATAAAGATTTTAAATAATGGTAAGATTTGACCCCGTTTGTGTTCTGTCATACGGTGCCCATGTGGAAATTCCAATGGCAGGAAGGACAAAGGCAGCCACTTTGTTCCCAGAGAAGTCATCCTTCAGGGCCCTTCCTGTTCTAACGCCCACCTGAAGCCACCTGGCTGCATGAAGCCAGCATTTCCAAGTGAGTGGGTTTGCTTTCACATTCCACATCAGGCCCCAGACCTTGGAAGGTGACCGTGAACTGATTAGGACTGTGAATCCCACTTATTCAGCCCACAGCTCTCGCCTCCTGGGGAAACACATTCTCTTCCGCCAGTGCCATCTCGGAGGTCTGTAAATTGTGCTTTTCACACAGTCCTTTCCCTGAAAGAGTCTGTCACCATAGTACCTGGTGGGGTCTTTTCTCCTGGCAGTGATTTTAATTATCACTCGAGCAGTTTTGACAACACGGTCAGATCACAGTGATTACAGCCGAGCTGGGGCTAAACATAATCACCATTTCGCAGAGCTGGTTTCTTCTCAGCCAAGCATGCATCTGAGACCTTCAAGCTTCACTTCAAATGAGGGAGAGGCACACTCTCTTTAGGGCTCTCATTGCTACAGATGGAAAACTGGAGAGAACTAGAGGAGAACCCCATCATTAGCTGATCTCTCAAAATGACCAGTATTGGATGTAAGCTGTTAATCACAATGACGTCTTTAGCCTCAGTCCCTTGGGACGGACCCTCCAACTCAGGAGACACCAAAACAAGCTTTCGTGAAAACGCTCGTTTCCCCCTGGACCTCTACTTTCAGACAAATAAAAATGTTTCTCTCTGTTCTTTTCTTGTCTCCCAGGATGGTGGTTGTTATGGTGATCTGTTCTGCAAAGCTCTGAAAACGTATAATATGCTTTGTTTTGGAATTTACCGGCTGAGAGATGCTCACCTCAGCACCCCCAGCCAATGCACGAAGAGGTAAGTATATTTCCACTCTGCTCTCCCAACCCAAATGCAGAGACAGAAATACCCTCTCTTGTCCCCCACTGTGAAGGCAAAGGTCTATATACATGCTCTCAGTATGCAAATGACTGTGCCCACATTATATCCAACACTGAGTTCGGAGGTTATGGGAGGTTTTTTTCTTTAACTACTCGTAGCAGATGTAAAGATATTGTGGGAAGAAATCAAGTTTTATAGATTAGTTCCTGAATAGGAGCATCTCCTCCAAACTCCAGCTACTGGGATCATTCCGTTGGTACCTAGTAGATATTTCATATTGCTAGTGTTTAAGATAAATGGTTCCTTTGCCATATCTTAGATGCCTATATTTTTACTGACTGTATTTTTAATGGACTTACTTTTTAAACTTTTATATATTTATTTCAAGAAAATTATGTATTATCACCTTAAGTAGAAAAAATAAGTTTATGTGTGCTAGTTATATTTTTCTAATTGCATTAAAATAAATTCATAGCAACCCCAAATTAAAAGTACGTCATAGAATTACCAAAATCAGTGTGTTTGCATGATATACCTCAAGAAACAATTCTATAGAGATGAGTAATTCTCAGCTTGGCTTGCACTTTAGAATCACCAGCGGTGCTTTTTTAAAAGTATTCTGATTTCTCTGACTTAATTGGTCTGGATTGAAAATATAGATAATTTTTTAATGCACAGAGGTTATAGTATATAGCCAGAGTGGAGACAAATTGCTGTAGACTAGTGAGTTCTCAAAGTTTAGTGAGCATGAGAATCACCTGCAAAGCTTGTCAAAACACAAATTGCTGGACCCCACCCCAGCGCATCTGACTCCATAGATCTGGAGTGGAGTTGCTTAGGAATTTGCATTTTAAGTTCCCAGGTGATGCTGGTATGTCTGGCTTGAGGACCCACTTTGAGGTGTACTACTATAGAGGAAACAGTAATTTTTTTTTTTTTTTGATCCTGTGATGTGTGTCCAGGATGGTCAGAACATTCTAGAATGAAAGATGCAGTGCACTCCGTGAACCTCCTGAATGCATTTGGGCTACTCAGGATCAGAATTGAACTTGATATTGAATTGAAAGGGGCACATAGACCGTAGGAAGCACAGTTTGGTTCTCCCATCATAGGCATTAATTCAGCGTCTCTGCCAGGGCTTGTGGCGGGCCTCCTGCCCTGAGCTAAAGAGAGGAAGATTTAGTTCAGCTTGGGAGAGAATGTTTAAGGCCTTGGACCAGCTAGAAGCCCATCCTCCAGATGCTCTTCAAGACCTGAGGAGCCTCTTGGTTCAGAGGGGGGGGTGAACTATGCAGCCAGTTTATCGTCATTCCATAACCCCTTTGTCTTCCCGGGCAGGTACGTCATCACCAACCCCCCGTACGAGTTTGAGCTCGTGCCGACAGACCTGATCTTCTGCTTGATGCAGTTTGACCACAACGCCGGCCAGTCCCGGGCCAGCCTCTCCCATTCCTCCCACTCGTCCCAGTCCTCCAGCAAGAAGAGCTCCTCCGTGCACTCCATCCCGTCCACAGCAAACCGACAGAACCGACCGAAGTCCCGGGAGTCCCGAGACAAACAGAAGTACGTGCAGGAAGAGCGCCTCTGATATGTGTACCCACTGCCACCGTGTGTGAAACTGTATCTGCCATTCATTTCCCCAGTGGGTGTTTCCAACAGTAACTTCCCCCCTTTTCCCCTGTAGTCCCCCCTCTTTTTTACACATATTTGCATATGTATGATAGTGTGCATGTGGTTGTCGTTTTTATTTCACCACCATAAAACCCTTGAGCACAACAGCAAATAAGCAGAAGGACCAAAAGTTATTTATGATTCTAGGGGAAAAAATAACCCAAAGGCATGCTCCAGACATAAATAGCTCACTGCAGGAAGGAGTTCGCAGAGCAGGGGAGAGCCATTGTGATCCATGTCAGTTATGCAAAGCAAGTTTAGTTAATGTAGAAGAAAAGTTTGTTCTGATTTATCAGGATTATCAGGGTGCTTCGGGTTTTGATTTTGTTGTTGTTTTCCTTCCTTCTTTCCTTTCTTTTTTTTTTTTAATACACACGCAATAATATATACATACACATTTATTTGAAAGGAGCAACCAAAAAGCAACAAAAACATATCGATTGTTTCCACTCTCTGGGCTAAAGCCTCGCGAAGCATTTAAAAGGCTTTCCCCATTTGTGTAGATGATTATTAAGCACCTGCTTTTATAAGAGAACATCTGAGATTTTTTTACTCACCAGGGCCTTTTTGTCCCAGAGCTCACTTCCTCTGGGAGTTCCTGTGAACATTTCTACCCTTACTGTGGAGGAAAGAACAGTATCCCATTCGTGGATTTATCAAATTCTAGTCACTTAAGTGAACAGAGGTTTCATTGCATATTAAATTGTTATTCTGTCTCCTTATGCCATATGACGAGCTATTTTTTTTTCTTTCACTTTTGACATTTTGGATGAAAAGCCATATGTATCATAAATATCAGATGTAAGTCATTAAAAACTGCCTTCCTGGGACTTTTACATCTTTTAAAAGGTGAATTACTTACCTTATGTACAGAATAAATAATGCTCAGGAAAGAGTGCGTATTTTTCCATGCATTCTCAGGGGACCTTTTTACTCCCCTTTGTTTGATTAGCTAGGGCCCCAATGCCAGGGAGGAGCAAGGGCTGGGGCCGTGGTAGAGCGTGAGGAAGGTAAACCCAGCAGCAGATCATGTTTTTCTAGGAGCCGACCTGCTAAATAAATCAGAAGGTAGGGGGGAATTGAGCCACAGTTGACTCAACAAAGACAAAAGCTAGCCACCACCTCAGACTGTTGGCACAGCTGCGTGGTGCTGGCTGTCCCAAAGCAGAGAGCTGGTGGGAAGATTCCTCCTCCCCAGTTTCTTGAACATGGCCAATTCACTTAGGCAGACGAATGACAACAACAGCTAGCCGCTCCTTGTCGTCAGGAGGTGGGGGAGAAGTGTGCAACAGTGAGCCAAACACATTTTGGTATAATCATTTTTTTTCTTTTGTTTTCCTTCTTTCCTTCCTTTTTTAACAGTTAGTAAGCATGAGAGGAAAGGTAGAAAAATCCCTTTTTTTCAATATACGGTCGTCAGATGTTTTACGCATGCAAATCAGGCTTTAGGCAGGGCAGTAGTCCTTACAAATCGGCAACCTCCACCGGAACCAAAGTCTTGTACTTGTGGACTAGCCCGGGGCTGGTGTATACCGATTTGAAATGTCTACTTTAAAAAAATTCCATCAAGCAGAATAGGGGTGGAGGGGAGGAGAAAAATGCCACAGCTATACCATCTCTATAAAGGTGTTTTTATGGTGAATGCTTTGAGTTTAGATTTCGGACCCCCCTCCCCCCAAGCATGGTAGTTTTGGAGATTTGCTTGCTGTGTGAATTGACAAGCACTTTTACTGACAAAATGGTGAGGCTGAGTCTGAACCTCTGCCCCCATACCAAAGACAGGGCAGTGCAGTATTCAGACCAGGAATGGGGTGGGGCAAAATTGTATACATGTATATTAAAAAGCCCTACGAGTGGAAAAATTTTTTTCAAATTATTTTTGTCCCTATATATATCGATTTCTATATTATGTATAACTATCTATCTTTTTATATAGAACTATATATATATATATCTCTGTATATATATACACACACATATACCCCAGTTTGGGATCATGAAGAGCTTTTCATGCATTCTTTGCAAAGGAGGTTATAAAGTTGTGCCCATAGAACATTTATAACTATAAGAATGTGCCAGTTAAAGTGCTCAACAGGAAATATGACAGTTTAAAAGCATTGTAAAACTCACATAGCTTACTTCTCTCTCTAAAGTGCAACAAGGATGAATAGAATGGGCCAAGGTATGACAATTAATGGTTCTGCATGACCTAGCCACTGCTGGGGGTTTTCTTCTATAACGTTGTCCTTGTGAAAACTTTTGTGAAATTAAAAAAAAAAAAAAAGGAGTTACAAATTTTATTCTGTTATTGGTTTGTTTATTTTTATTTATATTGTTCTGTTTGTGGTTTTATTTAGTTTGTTTTGCTTTTTTTCTTTTTTCTTTCTCCCCTTTCCCCTCCTCTTCCCTACTTCTCCTCCTTCCTCCACTTTCTAAATTGCTCAGCGCGATGAGGCTATGCTGCTGCTATGCTGGATCCCTTAGAGTTTGTTTTGGTGTTCTTGGTTTTGGGGTTGGGTAATTTGGGGGGAACTTCTCTCCATCTGGCTTGCCTTTAAATCTGCACGTGGCCTCCCTGCCCACCTTGGTACCTTGCTCCAAGTCCAAAAGCATTTTCCCATCAAGAAACCCAGCTTTCTCCACTTCCCCCTCATCAGCACCACCCCAACCCAGCCCCTCCCCCATTGGTCTGTCCACATCTCTGTGTTTATCTTGGCAAGACCTGCTAAATCAAAATACGATGCCAGGCGATAAACTTTGCTGGAAAGCATTGGCAGCTATTCCATTTGGCAAACCTGCTTCTCGGTTCATATTTTATCCTCCTTTTAATTTAGACCAGGAGGTGTATTAGTGACAAAAGCACTGGTCTCCTTGATGTTCGATCAGTAGGACCCCAAAGGAAAACTGCTCAGTTGTGTGTATCAACTCACAGAGCACGCCCAGTTATCTGGGGCCTCACGACTCAGGCCCTGCATTATCCACGTCTCTCCTTCCACCTGCCTTTCAGGCACTTGTTACAGCCCAACAAGAGATTGGGCAGATAGAGAGAAGTAATTCCAAAAGGCGTTTTATATACAGTCTGTTAGCAGCTCTGAGGAGATGATGTTGTGACAAGAATGGAGTGGGTACAGAATGTGACATGAGAGGAAACTTTGGAATTTTCCCATGACCTTGGGTGCACAATTGAGAGTTGACTGTAGCATTTGGCTAATGATGCATTCAGTGATGAAAAGGTATCATTATGACCTCTGTTCTATGAGCTGAAACTACTATATTATACTTTCCTCAGTAGAACCAAGAGTCTCCTCCATTGTTTTCCATGTGACTCCAAACTTCCTCATTCCCCTTTCAGGTTCTCTTAGGAGGGAAGCACACAAGGTTCTCCGATTATGTCTCTCCCCTTCCTGCTCCCCATAAAAAAAGAAAAAAATAGGGATGAAATAGAAAGGGAGGAAGAAAGAAAGAAAGATGAAAGAAAGAAAGACGAAAGAAAGACGAAAGAAAGAAAGAAAAAGAAAGAAAGAAAGAGAAAGAAGAAAGAAAGAGAAAGAAAAGAAGAAGAGGTAAAGGGTAGAAAGTGAAAGAATTATTTGAAGAGAAAGTATATACATTTAAAAAGAGCAACAGCTAGAAACTCAATTATCTGTACCGTTCTAGAAGAGAAGAATTTGTAAACCATTCAGCCCAATTTGCTTTAGGCTGAGAAAGGGCTGAACCTTAAATAAGTGGGTAGACCAGGAGGTGTGGTGAAGCCTTCTCAGCCTCAACACTTGCTCGAAATGATGGTAAAATCATCACCATCCCTAAGGACTGCTACCCAGGGTCCTTCCTGAAGCCATTTCAAACAGATAGAGAAAGCTGGACCCTTAGACATAAAATTCTGCCACAACTGGGAGAAATTTCAAATTCAGTATGAATATTACAGGTTGTGACCCAGAACCTTAATATAAGCTCTCAGTAAATATTCTGAAATAAATTGATCTTAAATATTTTCAGACCTTTCATCATGTTATCAATTATCTTTACTCCCTTGGCTTATCTTAAAAAAAAAATACAAAAAAGCCTCTGGGTGCTTCCCGATGCTGCGGTGCTATTGGCACTTTCTCGAGCTGGGCTCACAGCTGGGAGGGGGAATAATAGCCTTATGTGTACAGTGAGACAGAGACACCAACTGTGCCCCCGCCAGCATTGTTAAGATCTCAGATGACCAGTAAAACCTTTGACTGGCTCTTCTTCAGCATGGGAAAAGCCTAAAGGTGTCTGCATCCCAATAGAGACAATTAAATCAACCTGCCAGGTTCCTATAGCAACAGGCTCCTGAAGGATAAAGGGGAGCGTATAGAAACTTCAGGGCCCGTGAAAGTCAAGAAAGTCAAGACAGGGTAAAAATCAGTGTCCCAGTCAGCTTCTTCAGCCCATCCCTGCTTTGTCATAACAGGATGAAGAACAAGTTGTGGGCACCTGTCACTAAACTTGGTTGCCTGTCTCCCACCAGGAGATCGCACATCTCTCGCATCTATTGCATAGGGAGGTGAGGGGGATTATCCCCTGCCACCCGAAAGGGAAGAGTGAAGAGTCTGTCTTTGCACAAAGGCCCCAGAAAAGGGCCCCAGAAAAGGGCCGGAGCGGGCAGTTTGCTCTGCCCAGTGAATGGCAGCATTAGACTTTCAGTTAAAAGAGGCAAATAGAGTCATGGCGGACAATTGCAAAGAAGTGTCAGTTTTCATGAATGGAGGCTGCTTTGGTTCTGGTACGGATGGTTTTCATCTCTATGAAAGAGCCACACTTTGCCCATGGAGAGGGAAGAGCGCAGTATGCATGGGTGGGGTCCCCTGGGGCCTTGGGATCTGCCGGGCAGAAGGCACGTGCCAGCCTGCCTCCTGGAATGGTGAGCTGTGAAACCATGCAGCGTTACCTTTGAAGGCTTCAGCTCCTGGTTAGGGCTTACAGTTCTTAGCTGTTGTCTCTAGCCACATGGAACCTTTTCCTTTCAAGCCCTTTCTCTCTAGACCTCAGTTTGTGGTACAGCAGGAAGAGGGCCAATGATTCCAAATACCTTTGCTGTATTATCGTCTCTCCTTTAATGCATTCTTCTCTGGGGAGCAGTTATGTGAAAAGGCTAAATCCCACAGCACTGACAACCCGCAGAGCCAGCAAAGAGGCTCAGTTTTCACAGCGCAGCCTGTTTCTCTGCTTGTAGGTACCCAGGCGGTGAGGTCAGCCCAGGTCTGGGGTTCTTACCTCCCACAGCCCACCCTGCCAGGCTCCCCATGGCTTGAGGAAGTCCTAGCTCTTATCCTGGACCCTCCTACCTCAGTAATGGAAGTAGTAATGGGAGACTCAGATGGCTTGTGGGTGAGGTAGGGCACCTGTTGAGTACAAAGCCATTATTTTAAGGATACAGGTCCCATGGCAGGGTAGCAACCCGGGACTCCTCAGAAAGAGCACTGGGTCACTCCTTCCTCTCCTTTCCTTCCAAATGAAGATAACCCGAGCAAATCTTCCTCTGTCATCTCTACTGCCAAAATCCCCATTTTGCAGGCCAGCACCCAAATTTATGACCCTTATATGTCCACTCCCAGTTCATCTGTGGCCACACTGAAAAGGACCACCCATCCTCACTGTAGCCCTTTAGTACTGAGAATACTCACATTAATGCTAACCTCATATAACAAGCTAATACCTTAGTGCTTACTTAGTGCCAGATTCTTCTAAGCCCTTTACATAGGGTAACTCACTCAATCCTCACCCAAGCTCGGATGTACAGGCAGTTCACATCTCTGTTCGAAGGAATCTGTAGGACAGACTTGTTCGAAGTCATCCAGCCAGAAAGTGGCAGAGTGGCATTTAAAACTGGACTATGAACTCTGCCCCTCTGCCATCCTGGAGGCTGCCATTACGAACAGATGCCAGTGCTCACGTTTACTTACCATGCATCTGGACCTGTGGTGAGTGCTCACCAGCACTAGCTCCTTTCATCCAGACAACAGTGTTAGGAAGATCTGATCACGAGCCCATTTTACAGAAGAAAAACTGTACCTGAGCTCAATTACACAATGACTTGCTTGGAGCCATGCAACTCCCTTGTGAGACCCCAGATCCCTTCGACCTTACCCTCCTGCCCCACACCATCTCCCTAGCCCACGCCTCCCTGCCAGTCCGTCCGTGGTGGAGAGCCCATGACCCTGTTGGTCTCCACAGGTGCCTTCTCCCAGTGGCAGTGCGCCGGCTCTTTTAGAAGCATCTCTGGGCAGTCAGTGTCCGGATTTTGTCTCGTGCTACTAGCCCACTTGCCAGAGACTGCCACGCCTCCTGTCCCTGATCCCAGCAGGTCACACACCACCCTCGCAGGGATGACATCATGGTTAGTAGCCTCGAGAGGCTTGTTAACAAATGGGGCCGTTTTACTCTGGCAGCTAGGAGGCCCTCACAGCCAGATCCATTGCCCTTTCCAGCTTAGGAACAAAAAACGAAGCTCCCGGAAATTTTTCTGGCCTGTGGGATGAGGCAGGGAAAGGAGATAAACTCAGGGATTTGGGTTTATCCTGGACCACTTCAGCACTCATTTGAATCCCTTCCCTGAGTGTTCTTTCTCATGGCCAGTGTTGTAGCCTCCCATTGGCACAGTTCCTTCTTTGGAAGGAGAGAGTCAATAAACCAAAGTGTCATTGTCATACCTCAAGCACTCTCTGTTGAAGCAAATGACTGACGATCATTAAAGTGTGTGTTCCTCTGATGCCCTTTAGGAGAATCTCTTTGTAAAATACCTTTGCCCCTGGATATTTTACTAGAATACTCAGAGCACTAGTATATTTCCATTTTCTCAACATCTTATCCAACCAAGTCTCCAACAACTTACATATATTTATATCTTATAAGGCACCCAAATTAAAAAGCCTGTTTCTCAGGCATAATGAGAACCTCAACTCATCTCCAGGATGTGCTTGCACACAACTCCTTCTTGCGTGGAAGCTGAATGGCCAAAACACAGAGGCTGCTCTGGATAGCTTTTCTTCTATGGCAAGAAGTGTAGGAGGCAAGAGAAAACGGAGCTTAAATGGGGAAATAATGCTCTCTTTCTTACTGACAGCAGAAAGAAATTGATATTCTCTCTGCCGAGAAAGGTCAAAATGCCAACTTTGAATTGAACTGTAAAGACTAAATTCTGAACAATTATTCTCTGCAGCAGTTGTAAAAATTTCAGCAAATTGCAGCTGTCTTAGGTCTTTTGCCCAAAAGACCCACTCGTTTCCATCAGCAGAGTTCAGTTTCCTTTCCAACCTGGCATGTCCAACCTAGCACTAAATCCCTTTGCACAATCAGTCCCCACAGTGGCACAGCCAAAACCAAGGGCAGCTCAGGCAAACAGCACAGACGCCCGGTTCTGCTCTTCTGAAAATCATCTTTACGCATAAACCATTGGAAAAAGTCATAGTTTGAAATTGTTTCAGCGGCCTGGCAATGCTTTTAAAACATGATAACCATCACACTCCACTCCTCTCTGAAAGGTTAGTTTAATCGTAGATCACAAAAAATTGGTTTCCACAAATGCATAATGGTTCATCTATGTCACACTTGAACTAAATGGTTTTTTAAATGGAGCTGAAATTATTTTGATGTGTACACAGTCCTGGATTTCTATACAACCTTTTTTAACCAGTCCATCAGGAACCTTGCCTCTAAAGCCTCATTAATAATTCAGATGTGCTGATGACTTTAAAAGATCTATGGAATTGAAGCGTAGGGAAAAAAAAAATCTCTGCTTGACAAAAAGATAAATGAATGTAGAAAGAAGCTGTAGGAGTCTGGCAAGCTGTAGATCATCTCAGAACAGATTGTAACTTTATCATTCTGTCAGGGGGAATAATTTAAAGCACTTAATCAGTTAGCTTCACTGTGAGGATGTAGCATTATGAATTCCTATCGTCCAATCTGTTCAAATCGAAGTGAACTTAATTATAATAGGTGAGAGAGCCAGAGCAGGAGAAAGGGGAGTGGAGAATGATCTGAGAGACGGTAGTTTCCTGGGGGTAAACTGAGCTGCCGAACAAAAGGTAGTGAGCAAGCTCTCACCGAGGCACACCCCAGCTCCAGGGACAGTGTTTACACTGAGGGCTCAGACTTGACACAGCAAGAGAGAGGACGCATCCAGGAGAAACAAGCAGAGCAGTTATGAGCTGATGGCAGATGCTGAATCTATAGATCATTAGCCTATCAGACAGACAGACGTACAGACGTAAAAACACGCGCGCACACCTACGTATACTCTTCCATCAAGCCAGGTGAGCAATTTTGGTTAACGTATCAGTCCAGGACCACTGACAAGGCAGTTGTGACTTCTTCTGATAGGCAGAAATGAGGCCATTGTCTCTAGAGCCGTGGGTGTGCCTGAAAGCTTTCCCCCTTTTTCTTTTCTTTTCCTAAGCCACTAATATGATTCCCAAATTCGAATGTCCTATTTTCCCAGCCTCTTCATGTCTGTACACATGGCCGGTTCTCCAGAAAGTTTCAATCCTAGAAAAAGGCAGGGGCGAGGCCCGAGTCCTGTAAAATAGCACTGAAATGCTGAGAGGGTGCTAGGCCATTTTCCCCCATCCCCCTCCCGCCCCCACAAACGCTCTGACTCAGCATTCTCTCAGCCATCTCTGTATTCAGGGTGGAAATGAAATGCCAAGACTTCGTGGAGCTCCCTTGTCAACACCTCGGGTTATTATATTCGGTTAAGATACTGCCACTAAGAATTCTTTTCATAACTTTATACCAACACAGAGTTTTCTTTCTTGAAATAAAAGCCATCTCAAAATCATCTTCAAACTTTGGTTGCTATTTTGATTTTTAGTCTCATTGCCCAGCAAAATCTGTGGGCTTACTTTAAGACCCTCAAAACTGGCTGCAAAAAAAGAAAAAAGAAAAAAAGAAGAGTGGCATATCGAGTATAACTTTAAGTACGTCTGTTACAAACAAAGCCAAGTAGAGGTTGAGAGGAGGAGATGCTAGATCACTGACTCTGTGTCAGGGACAATGTCCCTCATGTTCCACTCAAATCAGTGAACATACAAATCTTTCCTCAGGCACAATGTTCATGCCCAATATTTGATTCAGCATCTCCTTCCCACCAAAGCTTTCCAGGCCCCTAAAGGAACCCCAGAGAACATTGCTAGAGTTCCTCTTCCAACCCCTCCTTATTCTCAGAGGTCCACCCACAGTGCCTCCAAGTCCCAAGGGTGCATTGGTCATCACTTGCCACAGGCTGCAGAGGTGTCCCACGTTCTGGGGTTCTCCCTAGACCACACTATCTCTTAGCAACTACTCACCGTCAGCTTCTATCGATTACATTTTTGCATTTTTTCAATGAACTTTCCAAAGACTTTACCCTAGGACTAATTAAGCTTCTCATTTCTCCTTCTTGTTCTCTATCCATTTTGCCCTTTAGCAGAAAAGAAATGGTTTACAGATGAACCGGATAATGCCTATCCCAGAAACATTCAAATCAAGCCCATCAGTACCCACATGGCTAACCAGATCAACCAATATAAATCCACAAGCAGCTTGATTCCACCAATCAGAGAAGTTGAAGATGAATGTTGACTCCCAGGAGACCAGAACTATTTTTTTAAAGCCTGACAAACTTCATAAATGGTGATGTGACTTTTCTTCCTCTTACATGCTGAATCACTGGTGGAAACGTTAGGATAAGCGAGAATTGCAAGAAAAATAAAGTAGACAGATCTTTCTCTATGTCTGCCTTGAATATTGCTTCCATGTATTTTGGAAAAGAAAGTGATTTCATTTATAAATGAACATACTAAAAAAGTCATGTATAGCCTCTAGCATTTTAAATTATTTTTATTTATTAGAAAGAAAATATATTTTTTCTTTTTCTTTTTTCATTGTCAAATATCTTCCCTGTATCTAAACAATGCAAAATCAACACGAGTAAGTGGCCAGACTCCTTAATGCGTATTTCTCTTCTTTCTCTCTTTTCCTTTGAGGAGAATGATGGTCACCACCACAATTAATTGTAATGAAGGGCAATGGATTATTAAAACAATTTAAAAATGGTCCAATGATGTAAACATGTATTTTAGTAAATTCATAAAAGAAGACAAAAGGGGGCAGGTGAATTTCCTGGATGGGTGTGTATCTTAGCTGCACTGACACCAGCTCTTAATAAATGGAAACTTATTTATTTTCTCAGTTGAAAGTCATATTTTTGTAGGTTTAGTTTTCATTCTGTATTGCTCATCCCTTTGTTCGTATATTTGAAGGGAAGACCTTCTTACAGCTTTTCTACAATTGCCAGATGAGGTTTATCCGGCCAACGAATGGTGCCAGGAGGATTGTGAGCATGCCTGGGACGTAGAAGTTGAGGACCAGATGCACACGAGATATTGCTCTGTTTGTTGTGCAAATGGTGGGGACTCCTCCATGCTGTTATGCTTCTCATTTCCTATGTCTAAACCACCCATGCAAGTACAGGAATTTCAACTCTGGAAGGGTCTGGTGGACTCTTTCCCCATGCCCCAAGTCTCAGAGCTTTTAGCCTGAAAGTTTGTAAACACCGGTGGATAGTTTCACTTCACGATAGGATATGATAACGCATTCGTTTTTTCACTGAGTTTTTGTTTAAAAGCCAGAAAAATTTCCACGACCAAGAAGACTACTTTTGCCCAGATTTTATTTGTTTTTTTTTTCAGGCTTTCCTTTAGTTGCTGGGACAAAACACACAAACTTGCTGCAACAGTGTAAAACATAATAACGACAAAAGGAAAGCAATGAACGCACTCAATACAGACTGTTAGAAAAGGCCTTTGAAAATGACCAGCAATGAAATCAAATGTCTCAGCCACTTCCAACTGTGCTCAAAGATTTTTCTAGCCATCAGACACAATTACCAAGTCTCAGCGCTTTGCCGTGGCTTGCATGCTCCGTGTCTAGTCGGCCCGGCAACTGTTATGTTCCAAAAGATTTAGCAAATCTTTCAACTTCAAAATGATCAATCTTTTATACAGTCATCAGGGTCTATGGAGAAGCATGGATGTGATAGTGATTTTTCTTTTCTTAAAAATGTTAACTGTGGACACTTGAAGAAACCAAACTTACCAAAATATCCCCCCAAAGTCCCATGATATCTCTTCCATTAATTCTTTAGGCCATGACCCTGTGGCACTTAGGGTATTAGTGCAAATCAGATCAGAGCCAAGCAATGAAATCACCATGAAAACATACGTCCACTAAGTACTCCAATGACCAGTGTAGGCAAAATGAGCTTCCACCCCTGTCTACTCCCTGCAGAGCCCATGTAGTTGTGCTTCCGCCTTGTAGGCGCCGTCCTGAAGTGACTTGTCAGACTGTGGTTACCCTGTTGTCACATTTTGTAGAAGTAGTTCTATAAAAGTATTGTGAATATTATGTACGTCCAAAATTGGATTGTTTAAAAACTACTTATAACCAATCACTAGTCTACACAGCAGACTAAAATGACTTCAGCAGTCTACATTCAGGCTTATGAACATTTCCTGGTTTCCCAACAGAAGCAAAACGGGTCTGTGGGGGTGAATCCCTAGTTTGGATTTCACAACTTTCCTGAAAGCTAGGCCTTCTTCTACATAATGATTTTGCACTGGGGTCGCCTTAGTCCGGTCATATTAACCCACGCTCTTCTTTCCTTCATGAACCCTGGTGGGCTCTTCTTCACGCTTCTTCCTGATAACCATTTCTGAATTTGTCCTGTTTGGTGTCCTCTGGCAGGTGATGGTGAAGATCTAAATGATCTTCCCATAGAGAAACACAGTGTCCTGTGCCTCTCGAACCCATCTCTCCATAGAAAACACAAGGTCAACTCCATGACCTGATTGACTAGAGATTTGAATCTAAACTCCTTTTCTTTTTTCTTTTCTTTTCTTTTCTTTTCTT